GGTTTCTCCCCCGTGCCTGGGCCTCTCCTGGGTGCTGCAGGCCAGACAGTTTCTCATCAATGCCCTCGACACCCCTGCAGGCAGTTAGGTTCTTCTTCCCTATGGCCCCCACTCCTTCAGGCGCTTTCCATTTCCCAGAGATTTCTTGAAATCTCTGCTTCCTTGTCGCTTGTCTTTTGATCCCTTTATTGTCACTTTTTTAAAAATATATGTTTTGCCGAAGCCGGTTTGGCTCAGGTAGAGCGTCGGCCTGCGGACTGAAAGGTCCCAGGTTCGATTCCGGTCAAGGGCATGTACATTGGTTGCGGGCACATCCCCGGTGGGGGGTGTGCAGGAGGCAGCTGGTCGATGCTTCTCTCTCATCGACATTTCTAGCTCTCTATCTCTCTTCCTTCCTCCTCTCTGTGAAATATCAATAAAATATATTTAAAAAAAAAAAAATATATATATATATATATATATATATATGTTTTTAGTGACTTCAGAGAGAGGGAGAGGGAGATAGAAACATCAATGATGACAAAGAACTGTTGTTGTTCCTTGTGATTAAGTCCTACTCTAGACTCTCAGGAAATGGGAAGCCAGCCTGTATGTTGAAGAGGAAAGGGGAGGTGACAAGGTCAGAATTTGAAAAGACACATAGACACCACCTCTGAGAGCCAGGGGTGAGGGAGCTGACGCTGGATGTGTGGGGGTTCTGAAGACGTGGGGAACTCGGGGTCCTGGCAGCATGTGAGCTGATTGCAGAAGGCCATCAACTAGGGGCATTCCTTCCCCAAGCCCCTTGGAGTCTGTCAGCCACAGAATGGTGAGGCTGGGCGGGCCCAGGACACTCTCATTCTCTCAGGTCCACACAAAGGCTGCACAGTCCTCTGTTTGTAATGTAAGCACGTAGATAGGATCTTGTGTTGTGGCTTTTACCTTGGGCTGCAGGCTGTCCCGGAGCCTGAGTGAAGGTCAGTGGTGAGAACCCCAGCTTGCTAAGGGCAGGGAAGCAGGGACCAAATCAGGGGTCACTGGAGGCAGCCAATCTGGTCATGGAGCTCTAGTTCTGAATGTTAAATCTGAGCTTTCCACAGGAGTGCCAGGAAGAGGGCTGTGCCCTCCCTGACCACGGAAGGTAACGATGGGGTGAGGCCCCAGGGACAGAGAGGAGGGAGAGGAGACCCAAAAAGGTGATTCCAAGGCCAAGAGGACTCCCCTAAACAGTCTGGACTCCCCTAAATCAAACTTCTGCTTGTTTGATTTGGTGACCTCAAGCTCCTCTCTGGCTCCCTCAATAAAATGTTGTGTGTGTTTCAATAGTATATTTTATAAAACAACTAGAGGCCCAATGCACAAAATTCGTGCAACCGTAGGCCTTTCTTCCCCCTGCTGCCAGCACCGGCTTCCCTCTGGCACCCAGGACCCAGGCTTCCCTCCTCTGGCTGCTGGCAGGTACCCAGGGCCTGGGCTTTCCTCTAAGCCCGGCTTCCTCCAGAAGGATGACCAGAAGGACATCTGACCTAATTAGCATATTATGCCTTTATTGTTACAGATTAGATTAAACTGAGTTTAATGTCATTTTGAGGCTGGGGAAGGAATTGCACAACAGCTCCTTGGGCACCAGAACGCAGAGCAGCCTCTCGGTGGGAGCAGACACAAGCGCTGGTTCAGACACTGTGAGTCCTCCCACCTCGTCCAGAGGGCCGACCTCAGCAAGTGGCTTCAGTGTCCTCGCTGCCTGGCCTGGGGTTCTAGTGCTGGAAGTGAGAATTAAATGAGGGAGATGGGAAGGACTTAGCACACTACCCAGTGTGAAATAAGTGCCAACCAGGGAAGCCTTTACCAGCATCTTCATTCACATTAATTTTAGGGAGAGTAAAAATCTTAACAGAAATCTACAATACTTCCTCAGAAATTCAGAAAGTGATTCGTCGGGTATACAAATCCCAGGTCCTTCCTCGGAAGCGTTGTCACTAGCCAGCCCTCAGGTGGCCTTGGCAGGCTTTCCTAAAACCCTGCTCACAGAGCCCCACAGAGCTGTCAGCCTCCGGGGCCAGACGCACCACAGGAGGAGGCAGGGACCCCCGTGTGCTAGAGGCTTCCATGCCAGAACCACACGTGGAGTTTTTATGTTTCTGAGCTGTCAGCTGAGGAGGGATGGATAGAGGAGGGAAAGTGGGAAGGGAAGGTGTGAAAGGCCTGCTGAAGCCTTTCCCCCCTGGCTTCAAAATGGATCCAGTAGATGTTCCTGCTTCTGTCCTCCAACTCAGATTGCCTGTCACTGACCCCACTGCCCGGAGTCCAACATGCAAGTGACACCTGCGATTATTGCTGTCAATGCATCATCCCTGAAACCTGACAGCGGTAAGACATGGTTCTCAGCCAGGGCAGCTTTGCCCTCTCCGTCTCCCAGGGGCATTTGGAAATGCTGTCACAACGTGGAGAGATGTTTCTATGGATAGAGGCCAGGGATGTGCTAAGCATCACACAAAGCACAGGACGCACAACAAAGAATTATCCAACTCCCCTCTCTCCGCCCACTGTCCCCGCCCCATCATTCCGCCTGTGCCAAGGGAGGGCACAGCTCTCTCTCTGGCACCCCATGCTGAAATCCCAGGTAAATGACCCAAGAATACAGTGTCAAAGTTTAGAAACTGTGATTGAAGGAACAAGGAGTCCCCCACCCACTTAGCTCACTGAGATTATCAAATTGGCAGTTTGCCATGTGCCCTGGATTAAACACCCACCTGAATGACTAATTCCCTTTGCCTGCTACATTTATGTGAAAGTTTGTAAGCAGTGATTGCTTTCAAGATGTCATTCTTCATTACTTGTTGCTGTATGAAACTGCCACAAGACACTCCCTGTGGATATCATCATTTCACTCACTCATTCATTCATTCATTCATTCAGTGCAAATCATCGAGCTCCCTCTTACACTGTGATGGGGTCTGGGGATAAAGGGTGAAGAAAACTAAGTCTCTGCGCTCAGGTTCAAAATGCACGTGTTGGAGAGGAGGGGAGCACAGCTGTGCTGGTGAATAATTACAGCGCTGTCCTCATGAGAGACGTACATGGGAGCGGGGGTGGCAAAAGGAGGTGGGGTCAGGGTTTCCTGCAGCATTCACTTTTTGATTTCCATTTGCAAGGTTCCCTCTTGGCAACTCTGGAAAGGCCAGGGACAAGAAATTTGGCCTTAACGACCTCCCATTAGAAAGGTGCCTGTGCTCTCATTCAGAAGAGAGACCCAAATGAATGAAAAATTATTTGAATACCCTTACATTTCAAAATCAAGTACCTGACCACTCAGTCACACAGAAGAAAAATAGAATTTCATAGGCTGGGAAGTACACCAATCAATGTACGTTAATTCCACTCTTATTTTGTAAAGGAGTTCTCTACCAAGAAGTTCTCTACCTGAGGTCTGGATAAGCCCATAAATACCAGAGGCCAACACTTCCAGGGAACTAAAGGGAACAATACTAGGCAGTAGCAGCGAGCGGAGGAAAATGATATGTAAGGACAGGGATGTAATCGGCCGAGCCCTGAGTGGTTCTGGTCCCAGTTCTACCACTAACTTGAAGGTCTGGGGCAGGTCCCTTCTCTGCAGCCTCAGTTTGCTCATCTGTGAAGTGAGGGAATTGGGCCAGAGCATAATGAAGCACCCTCCCAAGGCACACTGAATACTTGAACCAAGTGAGTGCTATCAATCCCCACCCCCAGCTTATTCTTGAGATAATATGGGGGTCCCCTTGAGATGAAAATGTGGGTTGAACCTCAGACTTGTTGATTTTTGGGGATAACCTCAACGTTACTGCAAACACTTAAGAAGGAGGCCGGGAGGGTCACAGAGAGGAAGCCAGAGGCCTCTCCCATCCCTGGGCGCGGCACAACAACACACCTGTGGGCTGTTTTGGGCTCTGAATTTCCCCCAATGCCCCAGGTGGCTTTCCCCCCAAATCGGGAGTTCAGACTAATGAGTGGGTGCTGTTGCTCTAGCTGAGGCTCCAGGTTACCAGGGAGATGGGGACAAAATCCCCAAATTCCGCTCTTCCCAACTACTGATGCCATGGACCTGCCGGAAAGATGGCAGCTACCTCCTGTCAGCACTCCCACCACGCAGGGGGCTGAGGTTTTCCTTAAGACCGAGCAGGAGAGGATCACAAGAGGGCAAGGTCATTGGACACCAGCGAGGACTTGGCCAGGGCAGAGGTTAGAGAGTCTCAGTGGGAATTTCTTGGGGCAGATGCCGTGGAGGCCAGTCTGGAATGCTGGTGGAAAGAAATAGCTCTGAAATCTGCCCCCCTCGCCCCTATCTCCACCCCTCCGCCTCCCCATTCCATCCACCAGCCTGGGTGCAGCCACTCTCTCCTTCACCGACCCCACAGGGAGAGCCTGCGGTTCCCAGGAGTTTCCGTGGGAAAGAACAACCAGCCACCCGCCCTGCCGCCTTCTCCCTTCTCTCCAGCTCCTCCCTGGACCTGGTTTGGGGAGAGCAGCTGCTCCCAGGGGTCCCCCAGGCACGCAGACTTTAGGGAGCCGAATCCCCAGGAGAGGGGCCGGGAGCTGCCAATGGCCCCGTCTCAGCCCCGGAAGCTGCCTTTCTGAGCTTCTGAGGTTTTCCCGCCCGCAGCCTGGTGTGAGCGAAAATGTCAAGGCTTTGGGCAGACGGACGTGGCTTCCAATTGTCTTCACTTGGGGCAGTGTTTTTGGTCTTTCCAAGTCTCCGTTTCCTTGTCTGGAAAGTGAGGTGATATATCAACCTCGCCAGGAGGCTGTGAGATTTCTGTAAAATAACGGAAGCTAAGCGCCCAGCCCACAATAGCACCGCGGGGAGCGCGCGGGAATCTCCGTCCAGAGGTCCTCCGGCAGGGGTGAGGTCGGGGCAGGGGCTCATCGGAGCGCTCTCTTCTCCTGGCGCACACGTTTGTATTTTGAGGGGAAGATCTGGGAATCCCCCGCTCCCACCACCCCGCCTGCACCCCAATAGGCCCGCGGACGGGCGCGGTACTCACGGTGTGCGCGGCGCCGGCGAGCAGCAGCCACAGCGCCAGCCCCGGGCGCATGGTGTCGGCGGCTCCGCAGCCGGAGCCCCGACGGCCGTCTCCCCGCGCTCCGCCCGCGCCGAGCTCAGCGCGCTCCGCAGGGTCCCGGGTCCGGGCCAGCAGCCGAGCCCCGAAGGGGCATGGCGGGCCCCGCAGCCCGCGGAAGCCCCAGCTGGGGAGGTGGCGGCGCGCTAAGCTGCTCGGCCCATTGATAAGGACGCGCTGCCCGAGCTCCTCCGCCCGGCAGCCTGGCGGGGGCCGGCGCCGGGCGGGCAGGGGAGGAGGCGGAGAGTGGGAGGGAGGGAGGGTGAGGGCCCGGAGCCGGCTCCCGCAGGCTGGACCAGGGCGGAGGAGACCGGGAGAGGGCACGATGGCTTAGCAACACCCCCAGTTCCGGAAAGAGCGCTAGGCCCAGCCACAACCTTACTGCGCACGAATGAGCAGCCCAGCCACCTTCAGGACCGCATCCTCCTCCTAAGGACACCTGTGACCGCCCGCTGCGGGGAGCAGGCTGTGCCGGGCCCTGGGACAGCAGGGCTGCCAGTGGCTATTGCATTGCGGCCCTGGGATAGTGACCTTGCATTTGATTTCTGGGTCTCACTTTACTTTCCTTCACTATTAAAGCGACACTGGCCCTTCCTGGAAAGAAGCCTTTGATGTCAGGTGCACCAAGGAGGACCCTGTGGGCCTCCGGGGCGCTTGGGGCTGCGCTGCAGATGAACCACTGGAGGCCTGGTGCTTCTGGGCATTGCTGGCGGCCACTGAACGCCAGGCAGGTATTGCCAGGAGCTGCTCAACTCGGTCTGAGTGCCAAGTGTTCCCAAGGATGGCCTTCCGCCTCTTGGTATAAGGCCCCTCAAATGGCTCTTGTGCACCTGATTTTCACTTCCTCTGCACTGTGTCCACTCCCTCTCCTCTTCTCACTCTTTCTAGCTTGGCCTTTCCCTGGGCACTTCAAATACATCAACTCATTTAATTCCCCGCACAGCCCTTTGGTGACAGTATAACGATTTTACAGAGGAGGAATGGAGGGCGGAGGAGGATCAGTGGCATGTCCGATACATGCGACTCAGAAGGTCACATGGGACAGCCTGGATCTGCTGACCCCACTCTGTGACTGACCTCGCAAAACGGCTGTTCACGGAAGATGCTGCAGCCTCAGCAGCCTTCCTGCATGAAGAGGCCACGGATAAGGTGGGCGTGGTAAACTACAGCAGAAATAAAAGGGAAAACACACTTTCAGCTCCCAGGTCCACAGTAAGTACTCAGTACACGTCAATCTGAAGTCTACATATCTCACTTCTAGAAACTTTCACTATAGAGATGCTCACCCAAGGGCCCACAGGAAGATGTGTGCGGATATTTGTGGGAGCACCATCGCAGGAGCAGGAAGCAGGAGATAATGCATGCAGAAGGGGAGCACTTGGTCCTCCCTTGATGTTTCCTTCCTCATGGAGAACAGCCATGCATATAACTCTCCTGGCCTCTCTCAACCCATCTCATTAATCCCCCTCCTCCACCCACACCCACCCACACACACACACACACGTGTGAGGCCAGCTGTAATGATTGATGCATTCGGGATAAGGACTGGCATGAAGTTCTGCTCCCCAGTCTCACCTTCCTGTGACAGCACTCTGGCCCGCAGAGAGCCAGGAGCTGAGCTGCCCTGGGCCAGGCTGTCATTGGTGGCCAAGACTCTGTGTTGACCCAATAACATCAGTGACAGGTGGTGGTCTGGGGTTCAGACCACCATGACTGTCAGCCACATTCTCCAAGGCCAACATTATCGCTAATAAAAGTGATGATTGGTCCCATCTGTTTTCATCTAATTACTCAATTGCTTTGAAATCTAGACTGGAAAGAAAAATGTTACTCCAAAGTGCATGAGGTACAGACTTGCAATTTTTACTGAATAGACTTCTCTGAATATTTTCTGAAACCACTCTATGTATGTGTTATTCTTTTTGATGGAAAGAGATAAAAAGAAAACAATACAAAAATGCATTAGTGTTCTATACCTGAACCTCATAATCTTCAGTGAAAAAGCAAAACAACACTTGTTTTGGGCAATTCAATAAATTCCTGGCCTGTGGCAATCCATTCTTCCTTATTTGGATGCTCTGCCTGTCAGTGCAGTGGGGAGAGGGTCTGAAGTGCTGTGCAAGAGGCCCTTTTAGAAGCCTTGGATGCATCGGTGTCTTTGTAAAACCCACTGACAAAACCATTTCCTAACAGGGGTGAGGAAAGGTAGGGAACTCACACCATGTTTAATACCTGTCATGTGTGAGGAGGCTTGTAGGAATTTAGGGTGTGTTTGCATATTGGATCCTCCAAGATTACAAGAGAGAGACTTCCTTTCTTTGAGTAGTAGGATGAAAATGTAAGGCTTGAGGAACATAAGCACTCGCCTCCAACGGCCCAACTAAAAAGAGGCAAGTCCAAGATTTGAACCCAGGACAGAGCACTGCCCTAGGATTCCTCTCAATCATGAAGATGACTCTTTAATTCTGGCCTTCCATGGCAGTTTTGCACACATCATCTCATGTGGTCCTCAAAGCGAGTCTGTGGGGTAGGTTGGCCAGCAGTTCGTGGCTGGCAGGAGAGGGAACAACCATCGCTCATATGGTTTAACTGAAGAGCGTTCACGAACAGGATCATGTGCAGAGGTGTGGGTGTGGATAAGAGAACCAACAAGGGAGACGAGCCAGGGATTCGCAACAATGGACCTGAAGGCTGACAAAGACACTCTCTTGGCCAAATCTCACTCCCGTTCTCTGAGAACTCTTCTGACTGAGTCTCCACTTTGGCGCTGTCTGTCTTAGGCCTGCCTAGCCAGGTCTCAGTAACAATCCTGCCATCGGTTCTGTGAGAATCCCCCTACTCCTGATACCTGATCCCCTTCATATCTGATCAAGTTCCTCATCCCTCACCTTTAACATCTACTTCCTGTCCCTTTATCAAGAATCCCCCTATCCTTGATGCTTGATGTCTCCTCTTAGTCATCCTCCATCCACTGACCCCCTTACCTGCTTCTTTTCTATCAATCCCCATTCGTCCTTTCTTGTATTCCAAGTTGAGTTCAATCTCCTTCCCCTCCCCCCTCCCCCATTGCAATAGTCTTGAATAAAGTTTTCTTTTATTAAATTATGGAATAAAATCTTACATTATAACAAGTGTCAGAATAATTTTCTGTTTTCATATATGTATAATTTATTCCACAAAGAGAGGGAGAGGGAGAAAGAGATATAAATGTCAATAATGAGCGAGAAGCATTGATCGGCAGCTTCCTGCCCGCCCTAACTTGGGATCAAGCCCACAACCAGGGCATGTGCCTCAATCAGGAATCGAACTGTGACCTCCTAAGTCTTCACTCAACCACTGAGCCACATGGCCAGGCCTTTTCTTCTTCTTCTTTTTTTTTTTCTTCTGTAATAAATGTCAGGGAGAGAAAGCAGTGTTCTCAGAAGCTGGCAAGAGCTGCCCTCGGGAGAGGAGCCACCCATGTGAGCTTAACCATGGAGGAACATAGCCACTGTCTAAGCTGCTGCCTGGCAAGGGCATCCATGGTGGGATACACACCCTGAACTCTCTCTTCTGCTGTCCACTGACCTCCCGGCAATGTCTGCCAAGGGCTGGCCCAACCTGATGAGATGGGGAGTGAGGCCGCAGGAAGAACTGTCCACAGAGTTTAACCTCCTGGGTGGAGAGGAAAATGGGTTTGGGGGATGAGGCAACAGGAAAATAACCCTCCTTGGAAATAGCATTATGCCCATTTAGTAGGTGCAGAAACTGAGATTTGATGACGCTATAACTCAAGATGACACAGCGGAGAGGTAGGACTGCTGGTACGAAAACTTGGGTCTTTTGATTCCCAGACATAAGTTGTTTCCATCACTCCTATACCCATTAACCCCACGTCTAGCAATGAAAACCAGCTATTGTTTTTAATCATTTCCCAGTTCCAGGGGTTGACTAGGCTTAGCCAGGTAGTTCTCATTTGGGCTCTCTCACACGGTTACATAGACGGTGGCTGGGACCAGAATCACCCTAAGATGTGGTTATTGAAATATCTGGGCCTGGGCAGAAGGACTCCTATGTCTGGGGCTGGAGCAGCTGGGGACTCTTCCGTCCTCTTTCCCTATCTCTTTGTTACAACACCCTCCCCAACACTCTTCCTCTCCAACACTGAACCTAGAAGGGCAGGGGCTGGGGTGGGAGATTTTTCCTCCTCTTTAAAACAAATCCCCTCAAAAATTAAAAATTTCCCTGCTGTCAAAAAGGAAAGACATCTTTTCTCCTCTGTATTTTCTTCCAGCATTTTCCTTGGAAAACTATCATTAGAATCCTTTCCCACGCAAATCTTGTTAAAAGCTAATTGAGCCTCTTGCCGGTTTTGCGCCCAGGCATGCTTTCTTGAAGGCCTTGTCCTCTGTGAAATGTGAGCATGAGGAGATGGAGCTCTGTCCCCCTCTCACTGTGGGAGAGTAGTCCAGGAACACAGTTCCAAGTTGCAATTTCCCGCTTGCAGAAGAGCTATGAGAAGTTCCTATTTTCCTCTAAATAAAGACAATTAGCAGGTGTGCCATGGATTGTATCTGCCTGGCTCTCTACAAGGGTAATATTTTTGTTTGTCTTTGCAATCTCTCTTGTGGATTGCTGCACAGCCTAATTTAACATGTGTCCAATAACAAAACTGGTTCCTTCTGCATTTTGTGGAGAGGATTCATCTGGTTTGCAGGAGTTGTTCTTTTTAATTATTTTTCCAACAAGAAATCATGTCATTTTTTGGCACATTTCCAATAGCAACCAGCAGTGTTAGAAAACAAAATAAGCACATTCATTAGATGAATATTTATGGAGTACCTACTCTGACTCAGGTGCTGTGTGCTAGGATGATAGAGGCCTGGAGAAGCTGCCTTTGGTGACCTCAGCCCCACGCACAAAGCCAGAGATGCCATGCTCGGGCCCTTCCTGGGAGGCCAGGAAAGGTGACTGAGGAGAGGAGTTAAAACTTCAGAGGCTTTCATAGCCACACATTGAACGAATCTATCATTAGTATGGAATAAGCACCTGCAGAATGTATGGTGGCTGAGATTGCAAACTGATAAATTCTATGGGAGCATGTACTGTGGGACCAGAACAAGCCTGGTAATATCTTAGGTTAGGTCATATCGATTA